TGAAATTTTCTCATACCCACTTTTAGGGATAGAAGAAAGGTAGTTCACTTAAGTACTAACTCTAGGTCTTGAATAAGGGGCCCCACTCACTCATTGACCTGAGAGGGATTTGGTTTACTGGTTGGACCACAAACCAATTGTTCATAAGAGGATCAGTGGGACATAAGGAACAAGAAGTAACTTCAGGGGTAAAACGGCTAATTGACCTAGCTCTAGTTACGAACAACCTATGAAGGATCGACTTACTAATAATGGTTATATCAAATGGGCAGAAATATATCTAAGAGTGCAACTACTATGCTATAGTGGAGTGTCCTAGTAGTTAACGAATGTTGGTTAACAAGGTTAATGAGTTTAACCAGTTAATCTTGGATCGTTGGAGCCCATGATCTATAGGTCCATTAGATCCCTCTGCTAGCTCATATCAGACTAAATCATAGAACAGTGTGACGAGTGAGTTCGAAGTGTTCGAATTCAAATTAGGGAATATGCGCTACATATATACGATATATTTAATTGCATTTTTGTTTTATTTACGAATTAAACAAAAAGAGAGAATTTGAGATATTTAAATAAGATTTAAATATCTTAATCAATGTGTAGGAATTGATTGAGATTGACATTTGAATTAATATTAAATATTAATTAAATAGTTTAATTAATCATTTAATGTTACGTTAATTTGAAATTAATTATTCAAATTAATTGTTGATGTTTACTTCATTTAATGGAAAAATCCATTTTAGTGGAATTTTGAGGTGTCAAAATTTGGTTAACTCAAACACGCATGATTGCCACATAATCCCAAACATTTGAGTGGAATTTTGAGTGTCAAAATTTGGTGATCTCACATTTGCATGAGTGTAAACATGACTCTTTAAATAGAGTGATCATGTTACATGGAAGGTCTTCTTCCTTGAAAAAGACCTTGAGAAAATTCTCACAAGCTCTCTCTTCATATATACTAAATTCTTCCCAAGTTTAGTCACTCACCGGATTCCACAATCTCATTCTAAGGCTAGAGGATGGTGGAGAAGACACTAGTGGTGGTTCGAAACCGGTTTATGAGGAAAAAGGAATTTGAACTACAAAAGGTTAGTATTCAAATTCATTAAGTTTTAATAATTATGAACCTAACTAGTTATTTACTATAATTGATGTTCTAAAAGTTACTAAGATCTAAATTGCTTCGCATGTGTTATATTAACACCATCTGTCACACCCTTATTTCCAGAGATGTCCAACCAAAAAATGTGCAAACCAACTCAAATTTTCAATTTTTAAAAGATTCAACTCAACCAAACAAGAAAAAAAAAAAAATCTAATTCAATCTAATCTAGTCCATGTTGATCGAATTTTCGAGTCATATGAACATGTAAATAAATTTACTTCTTCCCTATCAACGCGATTGGAGTCCACAAGGGCACCGGCACAACTTTAACTTTACCAAGGTACCAAAAAAAACAAAAAACAAAATATTCCCTCTAATTCACACAAATACATCTCAAAGCTTGCATATTTATATATAAACTAAACATTGAACACGGCTTCTCTCCCATTGATTTGAACCATGAGTGAGTATGAAGACTCAAAATTTTCCAATTGTTGAAGCATTTGGAAGATGGTGAAGTCGTGGGTGGTTGGCGCCATCAGGTGGTCGGGTCGGCTAAGCGTGTGGTGGTGTCGCTTCCTCACCGGCCTCACCGCTGCCCTTCCTTCTCTCGACACTTGTGTTCTTTTCCTCCAGCTTTGAGGTGTCCTTGTGCAGCTATGCACAATTCCTTCCTGTCCAAAATTTAAAACACATCAAATTTGAAGAAGAAGAGTCGGGCATTGGGCAAAGAACAGGGCGATCTTGATGTTCCAAGGGCTGCTGCAATGCCCAAAACTCCATCTTCTCCATTTCACCCCCCTAACGCACAAACTCTTTTGGTTTGGAGACCCAAAATAAAGAGAAAAGACAGCAGTTCCCAAAGGAGACATGACACGTTTGTGGTGTTTTTTCTTGTCTTTAACAACTTTGTTGCTTTAATTTAAGGAACAGCAGCCTGTTTTGTTTCATTCTTTTCTGCTTTAAACTTCCAATTCAGCCGTTTGTAAAGTGGTGAAAATACATGCTCATCCAATTCTCTTTTACCTTTTATGTCTATTTTGTGCTCTTTTACTTGCTTTCATGTTCGATAAGTCTTTACTATTATTGTTGCGTCAATAAGGGGGTATGAACCGTCATCAAAATCATGTCTACATCTAACAAGGCTAAAAAACCCCAAAATATATTGTAGGGGATGTGAATAGTGGTCAATTATTCCTACTCGAGTTATATACTATCAAAGTCGTTGTTGCCTACTCGCTTTTAACTTATAACATTGCTTTCTTTAATATTATTTTCAACGTACTTCCTCGCTCACATTTTCACACAGATGACTTGTTTGTTAGGTTAGAACAAATGTCACACAATCGTTGTCTCACTGCTACAAGAGTGCGATATTGTGATATGTTGCAGGCTAAGGTGTAGACGCATATCAAATGCTGGTAGGTGTGCACAACCTGTGAAGCAATTCGACCCGAGAAATTGAACTGCAACCCACTTTATGTACTCGTATCCAAAAGATTCGATTCGCAACTCACTGGAGTGTGACACATGTTGATATGATACGAAATCAAGTGTTTTAATCATACCATAAAAATTTCATAATGTTTTATTGTATTTTTTTAGTTTTAGAGAATTATTTTTAAGATTATAAGTTACATATAGATAGTGGTCATTATGGTATGGATGGTCATCAAAGTTACAACATTTCAATTAACCCTACTTTACTACCACATTTATTTTTAAGACTATAAATAATCATTCATGTAATTGTTTGAATATTTTAGATATTAAAAATGAAGTTGGAATATTATGATTCTTAAGCCATAAGTTTGTTCCTTTACATTTCGTTTAGATTTGCATGTCAGATTCATTCGAGTAATGTTGATCAAGCTATCTTGTTGAGTGATTAGAATCACGGGTTTTCTTTATTTTTGATCTTGATTATCAAGGTAATCCGTTTAAAAACTTTCCATTGATTCCTTATCGTTCTTTAAAAACTTTATTGGATAATTTAGTTTGCATTATAAAGATGTGAAGAAAATTATTTTCTTGTCCCTTTGCATTCTTTGCAACACGTCACAAAAGGAGATCAACTAAATCGGTGTTCCATTAAGCACAAATCTATGAAATAAATGTCTAAAACTAAGTTGTCTTATGTCGAAAGACAATATTTCAAGTGATGATATTGTTATTAATGACGTGGAGAGACCAACAAAGACAGTATGCAAGTATATGTTTTTCCATGTCCATTAGAGACAAAACGTGAAGAAAGTGAAAAAAAGAAAGAATGTGAGGAAGAAATATTCGACACATGTATAGAGATCGAGAAAAAGAGTTGTATACTAAAGTTCGTGAGGAGAACAATGTTTTTTGATGGGTCGGATTTGACCTCACATCTAGTTCAAGTTAGTAACTTGCTCGTCTAGTTCAAATTTATTAGCTCACATTTTGAGAGAGGAATGAGTTTGTCTGGTTTGTATAAGAATTATAAAAAATAACTCTAATAACGGTGTGTTTTTCTAAGGGTGCATTCCGAAAGGTTTGACTAAGATGATGTATAACACGAGAAAAAAAATAAAGTTTAGTTTTTCCACATCTTTTTATGCAATTCTCAAGCTCGACGAGATACTAAATATCCCAAAAAAAAAAAAAAAAAAAAATTAAAGTTGAACTTTCAAGATTTAATACGAAGTTTTTAGAGGAACTTCACACAGATTTGATGAAAAAAATCTTGAGTTGAAACAGACCTAAAAGTGGAGTTTCTAGGATCGTTAAGAATATGTAAGATTAGAAAGTTTTATATTTTGGATCGATTTGGATTTGAATATTTGTTCGTGTGTCTGATTATAAATTATGAAAAATTTATCTTTGAAAAGGTGGATTAAATGTCTACCACTTTTATGAGGAAATCATTTTTTATTCAAATTAGGTATGAAAAGGGATCGAAAGTTCAAATTAAATTAAAAAAAATTGAAAACTGATTGGAATCTTGGAAAATGCTTGTAGGCAACAGGAGTGAGACACATCTCGATCGGCAAGGGGCACCACGCGTCCAACAACCTATGGGGCTGTGAAAACTAAGTTTTTCTCGGGCCAGTGAAAGAGAAGACCCCATTGTTCAAGTCCTAAAATCATCACATAAGAGAATTACGGTAGATAAGAATAAGTAAATTTCATCTTGAAAAGTTACGTTCTAAACTCCCTATTTAGTCACGTCTCCAAAACAGTAAGACATATTGAATCAGCTACAAAAATCATTACCACCCATACAAATCAAATATCAAATTCTCATATACATAAATTCATAACTCACTCAGAATTAAAATCGAATCACATATCATTATCTTATGAAATATTAATTTTCTAATAAATTTATAAACAGAGATTAAATATTTCTTGATTCAGTTATATACAAACTCATTATTATAGGATACCCCACTCACATATCTGAAGGGGACGAGCCCAAGATGACGCCCATTAACACTTGGATTAAATCTTTTATAACAAATACAAAGTGAATCGTACCAATAGTCTTATTATGATAAAGACATCAACTTTATCCATACAAAACAAACCTAAAAGGTTATTACTTGAACATGATCATTCCGTAATAACCTTAAATTTTACATAATTGTTGACGGATGAATTCCGATCTATGTCTAATTTATTAAAACTTGGAAAATCCAAATCCAAAGACATTGCAAATAGGTGTAGAATCCATAGCAGCCTTGACATAAAGAATTAAAAAAAAAAAAAAAAACAAACAAATCCAACCCAAATCGAGTCATCATCAACCAATCATGATTGGCCAATGATTACATTACATCTATTTCCCCGCAGGCACGTCCAATCCCCACCCAATACCGCGTTGAATTTTTCCTTCATCGCATAAGCCACAAGAACACCCACAAAACGTTGCACAAACCCACCATAAAAGGATTGAAGGCCAAAAGCCATCCCGGTGGACGCGCGGGCATTGCTGTCGTCGCCGGAGAATGAAGCTATGGCAAAAGGCTGTCGGCGCAATCAAAGACAGAAATAGCATTTGGCTTGCCACCCTTTCACGCCGCACGCCATATCGCCACCCCGACCTTGAGGCTGCCATCATCCGCGCAACCAGCCACGACGGCGCTAAAATCGATTACAACAACGCCCGCCGCGTCTTCGAATGGATCCGTACATCTCCGATCTACATCAAGCCTCTTGCGTGGGGCCTCTCCGCCCGCATGGAAAAGACTCGAAGTTGGGTGGTGGCTCTGAAGGGTTTGATGCTCATCCATGGAGTGTTTTGTTGCCAAATTCCATCCGTCCAGCTGATCCGACGGCTGCCGTTCGATCTGTCCGGGTTCAAAGATTGTCATTCCAGCCCTTCCAAGACTTGGGGCTATGATGCGTTTGTGAGAAGCTACTATGCGTATTTGGATCAAAAATCAGCGTTCATATCTTCGGAGGCTAAGAAATTGAAGAAAGGGTTGAAGCCACCATTGTTGGAGGAGTTGATTAAGCTTCAAAATTGGCAATCTATGTTGGATACCTTGCTTCAAGTTCGACCATTGGATGACAACATGAAGGTATCTTAAATTATCTATTTTTTACTCGTCTTAAAATATTTAACACGAGTCTTTTGTTCTGACATCATATTACATTACCCACCAACCCAAAAGCCATAAATTTAACGTGAGTCTTTTGTTCTGATATCATATTAAATTACCCATCAACCCAAAAGTCTAAAGTTAATTCCTTTGTTCTATAGGTTGGTTTAGTTTTGGAGGCGATGAACAATCTCGTTGTCGAAGTTTTCGACGTGTACAGCCGAATCTGCAACGGAATTGCTCAGATTTTGTTGAAAATATACGTCTCACCAACGAAAGCCGAAGCATCGATGGCGCTTCGTGTTGTTCAAAAAGCAGCAAATCAAGTAGAAGATTTGTGTCAATATTTTGAGGTATGTAAAGAAATGGGCGTTTTGAAGGCAAGTGAGTGCCCAAAATTGGAGAAGATCCCAGAAGAAGATATCAAAGAACTTGAGCTGATCATCAATGGAAGTGTTAACAATGATGAGAAAACAAAACATTGTGAAGTTCTTGAAGAAGAAAAAATGGGGAATGATAATATGATGAGAGAGGGAGACGACGACGATGATAATAATACGAATAATAATAACAACAACAATGGAGAAGAAATGAATGGAATTAGAAGGAATGGATCAAATAAAAGGGTTTTGAAGACAGTGATTACAGATAAATGGGAGATATTTGATGGAGATTGTTCATCAAGAACAGCATTGGCAGGGCCTCTTCCAAGCTGTTCTTCATCCCATTTGAGTATCATTTCTATACCAAATTATAAATCAGAGCTACCAGATTTGATCACTTTCTAGGCCTCTTGATATCAGGTATTTAATTATGTATATTCACGGTCAGTCATCATCAGATAACTTCATCTTCTTCTTCTTCTTATTATTTTAGTTACTAAAAAAGGAAGGAACTAAGTTATTTGTAAGCCCTCTCTCTCTCTCTCTCTCTCTCTCTCTCTCTCTTTCTCTAATCCACTTGTACTAATCTTCCACTGTTTTAAATGGATATCAATGTATGTACTGATTTTGATATAGTAATGAGAAGTGTTAGAAAAATATGGGAATGAGTTATGTATATGATTAATTGAATTTTGATGTGTATCCGTTAACTAATAAAATCATGTCTAAATTTATTTGATGATGATACAACTTAGTCCAATCAAATTCACCAGCTAAAAGATGACCAAAGACTATGAAATTAGAAGAAGGACATGAAGCTGGAAGATCAAAGAGATAAAAGGCCTGCAATAAGCTTGAACCCTACTTCAACTAGCTAGAAATCAAAGATTTGAAGCCGAAGACTAAAGTCTGACTACTGGATATTGTCCTTTTTAGACTTTCACTTTCGAGTTCCTCAAAGTTTTTAATATGCGTATGATAGGGAGAGGTTTCTACACTCTTATAAAGAATGTTTCGTTCTTCTCTCCAATTGATGTGGGATCTCACAATCCCCTCCCCCCACCATCCTTCGAGGCTCAGCATCTTCGATGGTACTCGTTCCTCTCTCCAATTGATGTGAGATCTCATAATCCACCCTCTTCGAAGTTTGGTGTCCTTGTTGGTACACTGTCTAGTGTCCACCTCCCTTTGAGGCTCAACGTCCTCGCTGACATACCGTTCACCACTCTCCCTTCAAGGTTCAACATCCTCGCTAACACACTACTCGGTGTTCACCCCCTTTAGGGCTTAACGTCATTGCTGGCACATAGCTCGGTGTCCACCCCCTTTGAGGCTCAGCATCCTCTCTTGCACATTGCTCGGTGTCCACCCCCTTCGGAGTTTAGCTTCCTTACTGACATACTTCTCTATGTCCACCCCCTTCAGGGCATAGCGTCATCGCAGGCAGATAGCTCGGTGTCCACTCCCTTCGGGGCTCAGTGTCCTCGCTAGAACAGTTCGGTGTCTGGTTCTTATACCATTTGTAATAGCTCCTGTCCACTACTAACCGATATTGTTCTTTTTAGGCTTTTCCTTTCGAGCTTCCCCTCAAGGTTTTTAAAACCTATCTGCTAAGGAGATGTTTCTACAACTTTATAAAAAATGTTTTGTTCCCTTCTCCAACTGATATGGGATTTCACAATCCACTCCCTTCGAGACCCAACGTCCTCGCTAGCACTCATTCCTCTCTTCAATCGACAACTTCATCATCAAGTTTGAAGCCAAAACTCTTGAATAGGCTTAAGATTGAAGGTTCCAAGCTTCTTAACTCAACAACAAGCTCACTAACCAACAGATTACATTTGCGTGTCAAAGGAAGATATGAAAATAAATTTAGACCTTCTACAAACTCCAAATGATAAAATTAACTCTTTTCAAAGATTCAATGCCAACAAATTTGCATATATGATAGGACAATCTTCATCTCACATTTTACTCAAAAGAAAATCAAACTCTTTGAGGTATGCTAAGGTAACGCATATTCTTTGTCCGATTCTTATCCTTGTACTTAGTTCTTGTTCTTGAGCCTTATCTTTAGCGGTATCTACCTATTTCCCTGTCTTAGCATACTTGGGGCTGGGATACTGCTACTTTAGGGCATGAGTGTATGATGAGCTTACTTAATATATGTTCTTGAAGTAGCACCCTAATTATTTGGAGCTCATCGTAATTTAGGTTAACATCAAAAATCGAGGGCTAACTTTGAGGTTCTTTTGAGTTAGAGTAGCCTCCGGGTTACTTAAAAACTAAGGATTATCCTAAAGCTTATCATGAGATGGTTCCTAATTACTAAAAATCAAGTATTAACTTTGAGCTCATCTTGAGTAAGGATAACCTCTTGACTACTTAAAGACTGAGAGTTGTCCTAAAGCTTATTATGAGATAGTACCTTCATTACTTAAAAATTAAGTGATAATTTAGAGCTATGTTAATAGAAATCTATTAAAACAAGATCTATCCCTATCTCTAGGGTAACATAAATTTAAAACATACCTGAGTCATGATCATTAATAACCTTCCAAGCCTGATAACCTCTTGACTACTAGTTAATATTGCACTCTTATTCACCATTTTCTCATTTATTACCCCATTTATTCTACTTAGTGAGCATGAAATCGTTTATTGCGGTCTAACATGAAACAAAAATATGATTTGGCATAAATCGATCTTAATTGTATATTTAATTGAGTTATATGGTAAAATTTCAAACATTTATGTTAAACCATGTGGAAGTAGCAAATTTGGAAACAAATGGGGGATGACATGGAAATTTTAAATCCACATCATTAGTCCAAGTGAGTCATTGACTACCCAATGAGGAACATCCTATGTGGACTACTTATTCCTTTTCAGCCCTAAAGGGGAACTCATCATGCTCAATATAAAAAGAAAAGGAAGACCAAGAGGAGAGGAGCCACACTTTGGGGAGAAAAATCGAATTACACCAGCAGCTTCTTCTGTAGTGAACTGCTGTGAAACTAGAGAAGAAGAAGAAAACCTTAATCCAGCAGTTGTTGGCAGCAGAAGGAAAAGGAGACCAACAAATATTGATTAGGGCAAAGAGGTGGACGTGAGAGCTCAAGAGAAGGGAGCTTCAATTGACGAACGACAACAAACCGGGATAACTATCTATTTCCTTATCCTCTTTCCTTATTCCATCAATTTTACATGATGAAGATGCGGATTCATCTGTTTAATTTAGTTTGTATGGAGAGCTAAACTTAATAGGGAAGGCGAGAGAGTTTTATATAGTTTAAGTATGTTGACTATATGATTTCAGTTTATTAAAGAGTTGTTGTTAATGATTTATATGTATGTTTAATTAGCACTTTACATACATAGTTGTTCTCTTATTCGGGGGAGAAGAGAGAGAAAAATGAAATCCTCTTTAATACTGTAGTTCCATAGCAAGGAGACTTGAAAGGTAATAGAAGGGTTAGAAATAATTTTCTACTCAGCCTTATTAATAGAAATTACAACAATTATGAAAATAATCACCATTCATGACCCTCAAAAGTGAGCTTGATAATTTATTAAAAGGAACTAAAATCTACCACAAAACTCGAGAACTTATCTATTTAATCTCTCTTAGTCGAACCTTCCTCATTATAGTTAATTTTATCATCATTTTCTGTTTTTCGACAGCAGTGGCACTCTTGTTTTAGTTTTGTTTAAATAGTTAAAATCTCTACCACCCATTCGAATGTTACTTGAAAACTCACTTAATTTCTTGCGATAAAATTAACCAAAACGATAGGTTCCATGTGGAATCGATAATTTACTTATTACTTGCTATTTGTAATAGTGTATACTTGCACTTATTCTTGTGAATTTTACATCATTTTATTATATACATCCACAAGCGATCAAAGCCTTAAAGGAATGGAGTAAGGTGGATAAATATTGAGGTGTTAGGGACATTTTAGTCATTTCTCTTAAGCCTTTAGCTTAAACTCCTAACTTGATTTTGGTTGAACCAAAACTTTATCTTAGGTAAACTTTCATGTCTTTAGAAATAGATCTAAATTAAAATTTTGAGCTATTTGGAGGGGTTCGTAACCTTGAAATGTCTTAAAAAGAACTTTAAGGGCATTTTGGTCATTAACCACCGTAAACTTGGTTTGAACTTCAAACATAATCCAATTATTTTAAAACCTTAAATGATCCTTAAAAATCATAAAAATAAGTCCTCTGGTAAAGTTTTGTAACATTTGGAAGTCATTTGGATTGTAATCAGAAGGTATTTTACTATAGGAGTATTATGGTCATTTTGCATTGTTACTTGATTTAGCTACTAACTTTTTCGAATGACTACCAAATTTAGTATATAACCTTAATATGTCATATTATACTTGACATTAAAATTTTATAGACAATAGAGTTCGTTTAGTAGATTATTTTAACATTACTTGATTCCAAAGCAAAACATTCGAATTAAGTTCTTAGCTCACGATTGTTTGCTTATTTCTAACATGTTCCTTTAAATCACACTTAAGGTTTATAATGAATTTCAAGTGATTCCTACCAGTATTTTATAAGAAAAGTTTAGATTGGCAACTTACCTCTCAATCAATGTTCGAAATCTCGATTCTTAATAAAGTCCAAAGGAAGTTTAAAATCGGTTGAACGGGCCACATCATTGCCTTATTCCTCATGAAGGAAGAAGAAGTGTGTGGCACACTCATTTGTCGCCTAAAACTTTCCTGTTTTAGCTCATTTCAAAATGTTTCTTGGAGATGCTACATTAAGAAAGAGTTAGGAACCGATATCTTACCTTTTTGTGCAATATAGCTCAAGTTACAACTCACCAAAATTGGGTAAAAATCAGTTTTCTCGCCCGAATAAACCCACTAGAATTTCTTATTGGTTAGAACGATCGAGACCTTTCCAGGCCGTGGCTTCCTTACAATTTTTTTTCCTTATATTTGATTAAAGCTTAAAAAATTATTTTAGAGTGATGAATTTGTGTGTGCAGTCTTAATTTTAGAGTCAACTTCCTCGATTGCAAGTCAATTAGTCTTAATTTTAGAGTCAACTTCCTCGATTGCAAGTCAACCAACACACCAAAAATTGACCTCTTTTAGGCAATGCTTTTAAATTTTACAACGGCCACTGTCTGTTTTTTTTTTCTTTTTCCTTTGCTTATTATTATAATTATTTAAAATTACTTATTTTATTTTATTAAAAACTTTCGTTGTCCAAAGTTTAGCTTTTGGGTATTTAAGGTATTTAGTTCTCACCCCACTTAGAGATATACATATGTGCTAACTTCTCCATCCACAGTTTGCAAGACGTTCCTTCCTTTTCAGCCTCACCTCACGACCCGAAAAACCAACATCTCTAGCATACTAGGTTCGATCTGCGTTCGCTTAACAATTTGCTGGCCCCAACATTGACGAATCTTACAAAATTCTAACGTACATACAAGCTACATCATTCCTTATTTCAGCCTTTTAAGTGTCCGATAAAAATTCTTTCGTGGTCGATGCCTATTTATTTCCAGTAAGAAAGCCAATTTTTCATTCCCCAAGACCAGAACTTGTATATGATGACTACTGTGATTGGATCGAGCTTCAGAGACCTTAACATAAGTTACTTCAAATGTCTTCAAAGTTCCATAAGAAATCATGAAAAGTCGGCTAAGAAGACAAAGAAACCCACGAAGAACCCAAATGAGTTACTGTTGTCAAAGCCTAAACTAGCAAACAAAAATTATCCACACACGATCACAGACACGAGTACTGCAAAGAAACAGACACGAACGATAGTGAATTTATTTGTACTTTACACGGTTAAAGAATGTTGGGAGAGGAATCCCATGTCAGCTAATTAAGGGGTTAATCATGAATTTATAAGTAAGGAAATACATATCCATTGGTACAAAGTATTTTGAGAAAACTAAAGATAAAGCCATGAGAGTTTATACTTAGAGTGGACAATATCATGTCAGGTTCGTGATTCCTAACATACACAACCTTTCAAATCTTCCTCTAAAAGGGTTTACCTAGAAGTCTTGAATTATGATTGTTGTTGGCTTCAATCTAAGTGTAATGAAGAATCCCGATTTTTCTATTATCCCATTTTCTTTTGGGATAGGCGGCTCACGACCTATAGGCCTCCTCCTACCTCCACACAGCATTGTTCTTCAGCTTTCGTAGTAGTTTTATAACTACAATTGATGGAGTATGGTTCTCCAAGTGTAAGTTCAGAAAGTAAATCTTCTCTTCCATGGTATCTAGGTAGAGTGCTATCCTTAAATCAGAAGAATGTGGAGATCTGTTTCCTGAGCCAAATGAGCCACGTCTTGAGCTTTTCTCCTAGAGTACAGAATGCTTGAAACTTGAGATGATGGACAGCTTCCTACACTTGAATCATTTGTATTCTGAGCTGAAAAGGAGATGGCATAGCATCAATCAATAAATTATCATAGTTCATAAAGTGGTCATACAGGAATTTTGCACTTCAATACAAATCAAGTTTAAAAATAGTAAAATACTTGAATGATTGAAGGTTGCTCATCACCGTTGCCTTCCGTATGATCTTTCGGAGTTCTCTGGTCCACTCTGCAAGAATTTATATGAATAATTAAGGATAGGTTCCATATCTTCCTTAGCTCGACCACTGTCAGCAATAGAAGAAAAGTTGTCACTAATGTTTGCATCAAGCACAAGTATATATATTTTAAGAACTGGGATACGATTTTTAAATTCAAACTACAAAAAATTTCAATGATCCTTGTACCTGATGAATTGATCCCACAAAGGAACTCAAGTTGTTGTTTTGTAAGCTTAATTTTCACCGTTTGCAATCCTGTTAGAGAGGTAAAAGGAAGTCTCTGCCACTCAGAGTCGTAAAACATGAGTCCTCCACAGTGCAAGGCTTTTAGTAAATTGCAGTCAATTTCACGTTCTGATCAAGAAGCAAAAGAATCAATCAAAACACTTTGCCTGCAAAGAGAAAGGTTCTCAAAGTCTAAAAGAGGTAAAAAAAAATCAGCCTGTATGAGCTCATAATAAAGATATACAAGTAAAAATGTCACTGGCCCGATCAAGCACATCAAAATTGGCAAAGGAAAACTTTATTCAGCAATCCCAGATTTTAGTAGATACATAATAAGTTGGTGATTTAGAGACAGAAGAGTGTTAGGAATAACGGCTCTCCACAATGGTGCTTTGCTTTAGGCTTCTCCGAAAGGCCTCATACCAATGAAAGATGTATTCCTTACTTATAAACCCATGATCATTCCCTAAATTAGTCAGTGTGGGACTCCCTCCCAACAATCCTCAACAAAGAGATCATACAATAGAATGCTAAGAATGCACCAGATGGTGCCACGTTTGCTAAACTACAACTAATTCCAAAAGCTCAAATCTCTAAGCTATGACGATGAATTTTAAAAAAATCTCCATGAGAAATATTTAAATTATGCCCAAACAGGCACTTCAACGCTACCAATTAGAACAAGAAATATCCAATCAGAAGTCAGCAGGAAATAAGATCTTTCAACTGAAAATTGGACAAGCGGCCAAGCCTAGTATGAGTTTTGAAATTTTATTCAGCTCATCAGAACATGCTTAATATTCGAAAAGGAAAAATTACGAAAATGAAATCTCACTTTTAGAATTGACGATGTCACTGTAGTATGTCTGGCCAATTAGTCCTGGTGGATGCCACTCTAATTAGCTCGATGTAACGACTCGAAATCCTTTAGCTCAAGTCCTTTGTAAGATGTGTACAATCAGCTTAAGTGTAAGTTGTGCTTGCAGAAGAATCTTGTCAATGAGAAGTTAATTGTGTACTTCACTGCTACAATCCTAGACAATCATTGAGTATGCAGCTCCTTGCCCTCCAAGACATCCTTTCACGACAAAACATCACAAAGTCACCACCGTGATTTTTTTAGAGTGCATGAGAATCATGAGAACCATTCAAAAGAAAAAAAGGATTTACACGAGAACCATTCAAAAGGACAGGATTCTAGATACGAACATCCTTCTTTCCATCCACCAAAACTCTCCACGCAAGGACAGAAGATTGATAGTATCCAACGTTTCCCTATTCGACAAGGCTTGTCGAAACTCCAGCGAAGGAAAGAACAAGGACATTAAGAAAATGTCATAGATCCATATAATAGAGCCTCACTGGGTAAAGTATCTTGATTATCTCAACGAAAACATGAAGATAGGAACCACACAAGTCACTTCAACTAATGAAATGGCACACCTGCATTAGTTTCTACTAGGCTATACCCTGGAACCTTTTTCAATCCTCTCCGTAGCATCAAATCTCTCACCTCATTAACTTGGCCCCATCTCCCATCTGAAGCATACAGGTTAGATAAAAGCACATAAAGGCAAGCTTCATTTGGATGAAGCTCTAGCATTTCTCTGACTATGACTTCTCCAAGATCAAACCTCGAGTATAATCCACATCCATGAAGAAAAGCTCCATACAAACTAATATCTGGTTGAACTGGCATTTTCTTAATAAAGTCCAATGCTTCCTCCAGTCTACCAGATCGGGATAAAAGATCAACCATACAGGCATAGTGTTTCATGGAAGGCGCATAGTTATAATCCTGACTCATAGATTTGAAATATTTCCATCCCTCTTCAACCATCCCAGAATAGCTACAAGCAGATAATACCGTCGTGAAAATTACATCATTAGGTTTTAAATCCTCCTTCAACATGTCGGAGAAAATGGCAAGGGATCCACTTCCATCACCCTGCACTCCATAACCACCTATCATTGCACTCCATGTGATAATATTCTTATCTCCCATACTGTCGAACACCATACGTGCTGATTTAGCATCGCCACATTTAGCATACAAGTTCAAAAGTGCAGTGCCAATGTAAAGATTTGATGAAAATAAGCCTTCTTTAATCGAGTAAGCATGAAGTGATGAACCGAGCTGTACAGCACCTAGGATGGCAGATGCTGAAAGGGTGCTCACCAGAGTTATTGCGTCAGGTGCAAGCGAGTCTGATCTCATTTGATTGAAGAGACGGAGGGCATCATATGCAGATCCATTCTGAGTATACCCAGATATCATTGAGTTCCAAGTAATCACATCTTTTTCCAAAACCCCAAGAAATACAACATAAGCATCGTCAATCATATGGCATTTAGCATACATGTCAATAAGAGCATTCTTCACTGCACACTCTGCCAGCCCAAGTTTAATCCCAAGTCCATGAACTGACATTCCTATACTTAAATTACCAGACACCGAACATGCCGAAAGAATACTTGCAGCAGTGACAGAATTAGGTAAGAGACCAGACCTTATTTTATCAGTGAAAAGACTCAATGCCTCATTGGGTTGGCCGGCTTGGGTATATCCAACGATCATTGCAGTCCATGAAACGAGATCAATAGTAGGTAGCTCGTCAAATATCATGCGAGCATCTCTTGTTTGCCCACATTTAACATACATGTCCAAAAAAGCTGTCGCCAAAAAAGAGCTAAGTTCAATAACGTTCTTAATGGCATAGCCATGTACCCATTTCCCCTGATGCAAAGCTCTTAATCTTGTACAAGCAGTTATTATGCTCCCTAAAGTAAATTGGTTGCTTTCGACCAATGATTCTCTCATCCGATTGAATAAAACCAGACCCTCCTCTGCACAATCATTTTGTACATATCCCGCAATCATTGTAGTCCAAGAAACCACATTCTTATCGATAATTCCTTCAAACACAGCGCTTGAGCACTCAATCTGCCCACATTTACCATACATATCTATCAAACCAGTCAATACAAAACTATCCGGACCCCCCACCTTCACAATCTGGCAATGGACCTTCCTCCCTTCATCAATTTCACGCAATTCGCAACACGCTTTCAAAATAATTGAAAAAATAATGTTATCACATTCCCTAAATGACATTCGCATGCGATTATAGAACGGAATAATATTCGCAAACATGTCATTCAAGAAATACCACCTGATCATTACTTTCCACGCATAAAAGTCTGGGTCGCGCATTTGATCGAACACCATGCGAGCAGACCCCACGTCCCCAAGTGCCCCATAAACACCGACTAACTTAGTATCACAAAGAAGATTACCGACAAGGCCGTGAACTATGAGCAATCCATGGAACTTGATGAGAGTATCAATGTTCCTGCAAAGTCCCATGAAATAAAAGCAGGAGTGTAAGGAAATAAACTGTACTGAAGCCATGGTTTGATCGAGGTCGGAGAGTGGGGGCTGGGAAGCATATGTGGAATAAGAAATGTGGTGCCCCATTTCAAGTAAAGGTCCTGCGAGACGGGAGAAGATTCGAGGAAGGCTAAAGAAGCGTTGCAACATTCCCGCTTGTGAAATGCTCTACCGTCATGCCGCCATTCTTTAAGGATGGTCAGGTCGTCGTATGCTCCTTTTTCAAACGAAGCGGCCAAAGAAAGTTCAACTTTGTACCAAAATTGCTCCAACTTTAAAAAAAAAACTTCAAACGCCCTAATCTTTAACTGAGTTTTTTTTAATTTCTCCTTTATTTCCCTAGCCTAACCACGTAATCCATAATTTAAATTTCACTTTAGACATACCTAAGAATTGGAGAGATCTATTAGATTCCTAGGACGACTCGGTGACTGAACGCGAACTTCTGACTCTAGGTTGCTCTTTTTTGACTCCTCGAGTCTTTCTTAGTCTAGGAAAATTAGGGTCTAGATCCTCTAATCGTCCCTCGCGATCCTAAGGTACTCAGTTTGCTGGAAGTGTCTTGGCCTAATTCATTGTCTAGTCAACCTTAACTATAATATCCTAGCTCTGTGTAGATATACATGGTCTATAGGGAGAACCCACCGTAAAACACTTGGAGCTAACACATAGTATATCATGCACACATACAAGCAAACAAGCTCAACGAGGAGATAGCATTCATTATTCACCAAGAGCACATATTACAATAGTCATCCTTCTTTCTTGCAAAGCTGAAAGCATATAAAACAATATTTATCACAAATTTCATCATAAGGGTATTTTGGTAATTTCTTACATCATGTATAATATACTCATTCATATTGCTCAACTCATGTTCTAGTCATGCATATTTTCTTTCTAGCGTTGCATAATACATAAAACAATAAGCTTCTTGAAAATCTCATCCTAGAGGCATAATGGTAATTTTATAGTAACATACATACAGTACATACTCTTCCAAAATTTCATTTTGAAGTCCTTAGCATGCACTTTCTAGCCACTTAGGTAAGTAACACTTATATGCTAGCACATCCCACCGATCCCTACAAGTATTACTTGTCTATGGTTACTTACTTGGATGATTGCACCTTCTCCAGCTAGTTTTTCTGTGGGTTAAGAGTTCCAAAATTTCAAAAAATTATATGATAGGTCCTAATTCAAGAAAACTAGAGTTAGTATTAAAATTAGGATGAAAAACTGATAAATGGAGATAGACTAGGCACGTGCATGTACAGATGTAATTGAGGGGTGTACAGATGCGCCCTTGAAGTGTAAAATGGCGAAATTCCACTGGATGGAGTGCGGAGCAGGTCAAGTCATCTATAGTAGATTGCCCTCAATTTTAGGTCGAGCGAGCAAGTCGGACACGAGTCGCGAGTGACCTAGCGTGCCTTCTAATTCTCCCTCGGCCAATCCGTGCTTGACATTATAGGCGGTCACGTTGTGCTGGTGGTCGTCTGTCACATGTCCTCCTCCATTCAACCAAACTTTGATTCAATTTGTAATTTCGATTTCCTTCCTATTTTTTTTTTTTTAACTTTCTCTACATAACTCGAATCAACGGTTCCTCGCCAAAGTGGCCGAGTTTTAAGTCATTCCAACTTAGCAGAAAATAGGAAGGTCATTAAGGTTGAATGTTATATCTAACTTATTCCAACATGTTGATTTCAATAAAAAGTTAAAGTCTTGAATCTGCTTGCAATTTTTAAGAGTATGGATAGGACAATTTAACAGAGTTAAGGTAGACTAAGTCACAGGCACATGAGCTACTAATCGAAGACTCCACACTTCTTAACATTTGTTTTAGAAAGCGCAGCAACGCTAATCATTAAGAATAAAGAATTGGCCCACACAGCGATATACTGAATATAAAGAACTGATCTAGATAGTGATTAAAAAGAAAAAACATGCACTCATGCAGAAGCAAGGGTTCCCTAAAGCATACAACCCAAGAAGGACAAGATTAAAAAGTTTTATAACATAGTTTTGTGAGTTAGAGATTGTCTTTGGACTCACTATTCCCCCGTAGCTTAAGTAATTCCCATGAATCAGATATTCAAGGAAGTTTCCAGACTAGTTTTATAACAACGCTCATATCGATTATAAGAGTCTAATCAAAGACAAAAAGGACAACAAGATGAATCCTTAAACTAACTTGATATCCCTATAAAGTGAGCATTAAACCAACCTCTCAGATTATGAGTCTTCGTTGAACAAAAATATTCCTTGATACACTGACTGTTATAGAATATGATCTAGTAAACCATTTTAGCAAGGAACAATTTGTTGTTGATCTAGAGTTGTTCAGAGACATAAAGTTGTAAGTTCACTCACTTTAATAACGTAGAAGATTTGTTCAAATGTTTCAAGTTTGGGAAGTTAAATAATTTGTTGGCATCAGTCATAGTATAAAGATGTGTTGGATGATATATCAAGGTTAGTAAAGTTTAATGATGTCATGATGAGATAACTAATTAGAGTACTAAAAGCTTATGGTGGATACTTAGGCACCCAGAGATGAGGAAGGCGTAGTAAGCAATGAAATGCTTCGGGGAGTTGAAAGTAAGCGTAGATCCGAAGATTCTCGAATAGGTCAACTTTTCAAACTGCTGCTGAATCCATGGGCAGGCAAGAGACAACGTGACGAACTGAAACATCTTAGTAGCCAAAGGAAAAGAAAACAAAGGTGATTCTTGTAGTAGCCGCGAGCGAAATGAGAGCAGCTTAAACCATGAAAATGGGATTGTGGGAGAGCAATACAAGCGTCATGCTGCTAGACGAAGCGGTAGGCAACTCAAAAAGTAAGCATCCTACCTCATATCTACGAAAGGAACATGAGATTGTTTCCCGCCCTTAATTTATGACTTGATTCACACGTAGATTACGGGTCCTTACCGGTAGACGATGAATCAAGTTATGAGAAAAGACTAATAAAAATTTTAGCTCGAGAAGTAAAGGTTTTATGTATTGGAAAAATGGTATTTACAAAACCATTAAGCACACGAACCTATGTAAAAATAGAAAAAAGAGATGAGAGAGAAATACGCTGAATAATTCCAAGATTAAACTATTTTGAGGACAAAAGTTACTTTTACAAGTTACTTTTACATGTATAAGATGTAATAATCCAAAAATTAGAAGAAAAAAAATTGTCCCCCGTATTTAAGGTTAGTATGACTGCCTTTTAATTAGTTTAAATTTTTGGGTTCAAGTTTAAATTATTTTTTCATAATTAGCTAGTTTAATTTTTGCAGAATTAGGTTTAGCTAATTTAAATTATTATAAATAAATTTAAATTATTTTATGCAAAATTAGGCTTGGATAATTTGAATCGGTAGGAATAGGTTAAATTATTATAAGTTTAAATTATTTTATGCAAAATCGAGTGAGTCAATTTTTATAGTAAAATTCTAATTCATAATTGTTGGACTCCTTAGCAAAATTAAAATTCAGACAGAAATGTTAAACTAACGAGTTGTAATAGAGACCAACTAATTAAGTGGTTTTACTATAAGTTCTGTTAGACTTTTCTCATTTACAATGACACATGTCTTGTGGTCTTTGCACGTGTCATATATGTTTATATGATATGATGATGTGATTTGACACAATATTATGATATGTTATAATGATGATGTGAGTTAACATGAGATTATGATGTATCATGATGATGTTATAGGAAATCCCTAGACCATGAAGCCTTAAAGGATTGGAAGAGCTTGGCCTTGTTAACATCTTATCATAATGATGAGCATAATGAGATGACTAAAGGAAATGAAATAATGGAGAACCATAGAGGCATAGAAAGGAGGTTTGATGGCATGACTAGAGCGAAGTGGAAAAGCATGGCTCTTGCCTTTTATCACAATCAACAATAATACTGCTAACGGGGGGCTGGCTAAGTGAATGCATTTTCGACCATAATCTACTACCTTCGATTCTAAGAATGTGATAGACAAAGCCACACATAAATCACGAGCACCACAAACACACACGCACATGCATAGGAGGGAGGGAATGGTAAATTCACAACTCCTAGTTACAACCATGTCCCTTGTGTAGGTGTGTATGCTTTTTCAAAAGGAAATGGAAAAACACAGTAGAATATCACAGCCTAGCTAGCTAAACCTTTTACCCAACGTAAATGAAGAATGCAGAAGAAAACCCACAAAATGCAATGCAGTGACCGACTGACTGACTGACTGACTGACTGACTACTTACACAAACTATGTTTCTTTGGGAATAGACATTTCTCAGTCCCAAGTGACAGAGATCATTGAATTAGCAAGCCCTGATTCCTCAAATGTCATTTGGGTATCATACTTCAGAGACTTTGTAGCTCCTGGTATTGCATGTGTCAATTTGAATGCCTTTGTGCCACCTTCCTCTAACTGAGAAGAACAGAATGACCAAAGCAACTGCAACAAGAAGAAGAAGAAGAACAACAATAGCCCTCAGGGTTAAAATGGAGGACACAACTTTTGACATTAGGAGTTAGGTGAGTTACTAAACAAAATCTAGAAAGCAATTGTAGCTCCTAAGAAACGGTATTACCTGGATGGGATCGGTTCGGAGGAAACTCCTTTGGCATCTACGTCCATTGGGAAGACGGAATCCGATCCTGCAAAGAAGATTTCTGTCACCTTTGGGTTCTTCAGGCAATGGTGGATAAGTTGGGCACTTCTCTTCTTCCTTCTCACTACTTTTTGCATCCTTATTATCCTCAGAAGATAATTTGACTGTTTCCTTCATGCCTTCTAAAGAAACTGCCAATGCACGTTGCACTTCCTCGTCCTCCTCATAATCCTCTTCTGCAGATAATTGTAAATAACACTATAGTTAACAATACGTTCGGTTACAGGTTGACAAATAAAAAAGACATCAGCAAACCATGCACAATCACAATCACTACCATGCAAGTTTCTTACTTTCCTTTTTATTTATATGAATTCACTTTCTTAAAAAGGATGAAAGCCTACCAAAGAACTCAAAACAAAAACACAGGTCCAGCAGAATCACGACAATCACACGGAGCACCAACTATCATCAGTACAGTGTAACTATACTTGACATTCATTGTTTTTGTTTCTTTTAGGATCAGAAGCAGATATTTCATAAACTTAAAGTGATCCTTACAAGGGGAAAAAAATAATGTTCTCTCCGGTTGGTGGCTGAAAGGATAAGGAAAGCAAGTCCACAGGAAGGGTTTCATTAGAGCTTTCTTATGCCTCATTTGGTTGGAAAGAAGTATAGAATTTTTCATGATAAAGAAAAATCCACATATAGCTTTGTGGGTATGCCTAATCTGAGAGTACCCTTCACATAACTTACTTGGTAACCATACCCTTTTTAAACCAACCAAGTGTGGAAGGTATTCATGCCATAAACTTTGGGACAGCCTCTCCTCTACTCAACCACCCCTTCGTAAGGGAAGATCTTAACTAAAAAGCAACCATTTTGTTACAAAATCCACACTCTGTTATCACGAACTTGATTTAAACCAAGCAGTTTACCATCTCCAACAACCCCCTTTAGCTCACATTATTCCCCATCTTTTGAGTTTCTTTACGATGAGATATTCCAACTTTTCATTATTGAGTCCTATCTTAAAACTGATTTGACTTTTGTTTCACCATCCCATATAAATTGAGATATCAAACTGCATGGAATCTTCATCAACGCATGCATTCTTAGCTGTTGGCTGCCTTCGTTTGGATAAAATAGGTGAAGCAATAGTTACAAATTCGAATACCTATTTGGCTTCAGATTACTTCAAGTCAAATAAGGATTGTTTTTTATACCTCTAACTTTAGGTGGAGTCATGGAACTCTCCCTTGGACGTTTATGAGATAAGGTAACATGATGATCCTTCGGACCTCCATCCATGAAGGGTAATAGATCCTGTAGGACACAAGACACCTTTCTCAGATAAACCAAACTCGTTATTGAGATAAAGATAGTTAAAGTCTCTAGAACATTCACCTCAAGTAACCGTTCGGGTTGAACCATTCCGAACCAAGAGTGCATTTTTTGCCCAGTGATGGGATCAATGACAAGAACAGCAGGAATTGATTGTAGTTTATAGTATGTGCAAACCTTCTGGCCTTCAGTTGAATCATCATAAACCTGTGCGCAAATAACATGATATGATTAAAAAAAAATGAAACTGAATATAACCCAAGTTTTTAGTTTAAGTTCATGAGGATTCTTTTATGTAATTAATCTGTTTCCTTTTTTCAAAAAAAATAAATGCTGACATCAACTTTCATACAAAGTGCTGAAAGGCCATGCGCCAAGTGCAAATAACATTTAATTCTTAGAAAAAATTATAGAAAGTACGTATGAGAAAATCGAGAATCTACCCTGGAATGAAGCTGACCTGCCAAAAAATAAAATTGGTAGTAATGGTTTGAGAAACAGCTTCATTTGCCCATGTATCCCGGTTAAGCTACACAAAGCAAAATAGTAATCCCAAGTAAGTGCCTATTAAACAGGTAAACGAACTACAAGACAGAGGAACCACAATGGTCGAAAATATTACCATGTGCGAGCTGAATTCCTTGGTCGACTGCAGATTTGCAATCAGCCACTTGTCCTGGATGCAGGCAGCACCTTTTGCCTGAAGAAGATAAGACCTCCAGTAAATTCAGTAATGGCATAAAGACAGAACTGCATCATTACATTAAAAAAATATGCTCGACATCTTTGTACTAAAGAAACTTGTATCAGAAGGACGAGCATCAGATTACAATATTAAGATTGAAATAAAATCTTCTTATTTTATTTATTATTATTATTATTTTGTAAGAAAGCATGCTCTTATTAAGGAAATGAAAGAATATACAAGGGCATACAAAAAATGACAAGCCCCAAAAAAGTATGATTTCAATCCAAAAGAAAAAAAAACTAAGCTTATAATTACAAAAAAGCCTAGTGATCAACATCCACAAGGAGATGTTAAACCTAGCCACCTCTCAAACTTCCTTAGCTTATTTCATAATCTCTCTAAAATTCTATTATTTCTCACAAACCAAATATCCCATAAAATCGCAAAGAAACTAGCCTATCACAGAACTTTGTCTTTCTCCCAAAGAGGAGGATTCAAAGGCACCTCCACCAGCAAAGCTAGATACCTGAGCCCAACAAACACCAAATGATCTCAACCAACAGTTCCTCTGATAGTGAGCAAAGTGGTAAAATCAAAACAAATAATTGAGGTCCTCCTCAGGACTCCTACAAATAATGCACTAATGGATACAAATCGTAGGAAGAATGTCTTTGAACACGATCTCTGATGTTAATCTAAGAAGCATGTGTTTAGGTATGAGACACGAACATGGCTAGTACATCAATTCATAAATTCTAGGACATGGACAGAAGGACAAGTTTATTAAAATATACTTTTAAGAAAATATATATCATTTTTATACAAGAAAAAAATTCAAAGTTAACGAGTTTATACATTTATAAATTATACTTAAGACGTGTTCGATACATGTTCAACAATGCTTTGACTTTGTAAATCTAGTGTTTGACACATCGATGACACTACAAGTATCCAATACATGTCCAACAAGTGTTGGACATGGACACACTAGCCAAACTAAGGTGTTTGTGCTTTTGAGGTGTTAACTCCCCATTTATAATCTTCCATGCAAACACTAAACATTCTTTGAGAAAATTAATCTTCCACAGTAAGGAAAAAAATAGAGGCAATGAGGGAACGAGTATGGGTAGACAAGGTATGAAATCAGGAACCACAAGAGAAACCCCTTGGAAGGATTGGGGAAAATCCTCACATCTCTTCACCCTAGTAAAATGGTCATTTCGAAGAAGAGAAGATTGGCCACATCCAACGCCTCTCTATCAAAAAAAGGCAATGGAAGCCTAAGGAAATTGAAGAAGAATACGGGGAAAATAACACCCAGTCCCCAGGATTGTTGGCATGCATTCGAAAGATGGTATAAACACAAAAATAAAGCACACAGGGAAGTGACAGAAGTGAGAAGAGAGATAAGGAGCAATCAAGCTGAAAAAATTATGATCGACAAGAATGCACACCTAAAGATGAAGATTATACAAAGGGGAGGACAGTGAAGTCAATCATCCACTGCCCAATTGGACAGAGCTCTTCTGATATCCCATATGTTTATTAAGAGATGAACTTTTCATGGATTAGAAAGAGAACGGGCGTGATATTTTCCATGGAAAACAAGAGCAGACAGACCATAGTCAGCTAATGATCCAACCAAAAAAAAAAAAAAAAAAAAAAAAAAAAACCTTCTAGTGGAAAAACAAATGGAATTAAGGAAGCAAAAATTCTTCCTTGAAGTACATTTGGTCCCAAACACACACACACACAACCTCTCCTCCCTCCCACACACACAACTAAAACTCATAGCCATAAGGAACTAACACAACGGAAAAATATAAATTAGAATTTCACTAAGACCAGTCACAATCTAAGTTAACCTACCTGCTTAAAGTCATCTTGTTAAATAGGACACCGTTTCCAAAGTTTATTTTCTTAATTTTTTTTTTTTCCATTTTTCCCTTTCATTTGGGAGTGGAGGTGGGGGAAGAATGGGGGTAAAGAAGAATGCCTTCATTCAAGAATATGCCATGCATGCACATCAAGAAGATCAACCATTACATCGTAAGATTTGGTAAAGGTTAGGCAGAAACAATGTAAAATAAGGGACATGATACTTACCTTTTCAAAAGGCCCAATGAACATCAAATGGTGAGGAGGGCGGTATAAAGAAGCTAAATTATCTCGAGAATTGCCACTTGTGGATGCTGCACCTTCTTCTGATTCCCAAACATCATGATGTTTCACTTCATTTTGCGCGTTCCGTAGTCCTATTGATGATCCAGATTCATTTGGCAGATAGCCCATAGTTGTTCTGTATAAAGTTAACCAATAAAAATTAATCGAATAACAGGTTCAAAACAGCAAGTCGTTTCATGTTGGAATTACAAAATGCAACATACAGGTTTGAAGGATAGAAGAGCTTGTAAAAGCTAATTTAAACGTACAATAGAAAGAGCACAAAATATGGAAAAGTTAACCACACTGTTTTGATTAAACCTGCTTCTAATACAACCAAAAAATAGATGCAAGTTGGTAGTATAAATAGAATTAATATTGGTGTCAAGAAAGTAGTTGAGATAATTCATTTATTTGCCCTTCTGAGAACTGATGTAAAAACAAACAAAAAGATGTCGTCGAAAAGGAAGCCTTTAGATATACTTTTTGATTCTCAATCCTCGGCTATATCTTAAGTGTAAAAACATCTCCTCTTTGGCTTGCCTTCATCCTCCTTGGCTATATCTTTTAAAATACCCTCTATTGGAGAAGTTTTCTATAACTTCCTTTGGGTGGAATTTCAACCCCATTTTTTTGTAATTTCATCATGAATGAAATTGCTTTTTTTTATACATATTAAAACCTAGTCCCTTAGTTGGAGAAGCCTAGTGCGGATGAAAACCACTTCCAAAAAGAAAGAGGTATATGAGTTTAAAGGTTGGATTCATTAAAATTTTTGGTTCATTTCCTGGTGAAGAGTTGAAATGGAATAGTTCTTTCACAGAATCAAAAGTTTAGACCAAAAGGGCAATGAAGATAAATACTTTAATGCAGATCTTGAAAAATGATGGCATGCATACAGCAGATAAACTTCAAAGAAACCTATCTTTAACGGTCTCACATCCTTAGGTAGGTGTGCTATGCATGAAGGCAAGCTTCTGTTATGGCATCAAGATGAAAAGCAAAGCTAAACTAATTTGGGTGAATAATGTAAAAGAAATTCTTTTTTTAGTTCAACGTGGGGGATTCGAACCTCAATCTTTTAGGTTAATGGTACACACTTCATGTTAGTTGAACTACACTCACTTTGGTGGTAAAAGCAACTATTTTAAAAATATGCTTCAATGGGAACCAAAGGAAATTTGAAGACAATTATACTCATTGGGCTTAGAGAGTATATGTCGATAAACAATCTCCTTGTGTTCTTTAATCTTCTTTATTTTTGCAGTTACTTTTTATTGGATATCTTATTCATTGGGGGTCATTCTTATAAATTTCCCTATATTATAGGAGGTATGCATATTATCCTAATAGGCATCCAAGTCACTTTCCTTTTTAAAGTGGGGCATGTATTTCCTGTACCATCTCCAAAATTCATTTGAAGGAAAAGATTTTATCCTTCAAACAAGGGATTTCCCACACTGTTAAGGTCAAGTCTTCAAGGCTAGACCCCAAATAATTTGTCATCCATTGTCAATGCGATAAAAAAAATCTCAATGCAGAATCTACATTAGAATTTTTTTTTTCATTAAACTAAGGTCAACGTGATTACAAACATTTGCGCGTCAAGATTCCAGTCTACAATCTTTTTATCTACATATCAAATATGGTCAAACAGACAGAAATTGGCTCCTAAATGATCAAAGATGTAAAGGAGAATACGACCCCTGAAAGAAATCAGCAAAACCAGAGACTTATTGAGAAAAACACAAGTTTAAAGCGTGGCAATGGGAGAAAAATAAGATTTTGTGAAGATAGATGGGTTAAACTCCAGATTTTTTGTTATTAAAGACCGATGGTTTAAAATAAAACCTGGGATTTGCGTCTTAGAAGGGGTTTTTTGGACAATGAATTGCATGAACAGTTAACTTCACACAACGCTCATCGATGGTATTCACCTAACCATTCCAAAAACTCCATTGTTTAGGATCTAGACTCCTATGGAGACATCTTGGCAAATTTAACCATCAAGACCCTCCATTCAGGACCGCCTTTTCTGGACACTTATCTAGCTAAACAGATTTGAGAAGGCAACAATCCCAAGAAAGTAAAAATTTTGTGCATGGTTCATGACTCATGAGAGGTTAAATACCAAGGAGACAGTGCAAAAGAGAAATTCTAACATGATTTATCCCCATATATTTGTCTATCTATTTCTGCACTGTCGTTTGCTTATAAAGTCTGGAATTTCATCCTCTATCGTTTAGATATTGCATGGATTCCGACAAAGAATATAGAAGATAACCTTATTGAATTATTATTCAGTTGGTTGTTCAAAGCAAGACGCAAAGTTATTCTGCAGTCAAAGCTCTCCCTTAATATATTTGGAAAGAAATAAAAATTCACATTATGATTCATTTCATTTTTTGTGACCGCTTACAGCATACAACATCAACATGGAGTGCCCTTCACAATTCATTCTTTAACTTATCTCTTTTATTGATTCCTCCTTTTTAACCTTGGCTTAGAAAATCCTCAAACCGAAGGCCGTTTAGGCTATCCTCCTTTTTATGGATAATGTATATCGTTCATCATTTCACATCAACAAACAGACTCACTAAAAAATCCAAGACTAAATAATTCAGGAAATCAGAAGTTAAATATAAATGATATGCAATCATTAACTGACCAAGAGAAACATATATTCACATAATCCCATGGCAGACACCACATTACATTTATGAAATACTAGGCATAAACTCCATTGCTTTTGACCAAATTCATATCAAATTCTTTTTTCGAGTTCAACTTCATCTGGTAAACTTAATGTCTAAATGCACATGTGATGAAAGGACTACTAATGATCAAGAAAGTCTGTACACTTAAATTTTTTTAATTTGCAATTGAGACTAGCAATCAAATAATCCAAATAGTAGAATCAGTAATAAAGGCAAAATGATCACTGGTACACATCAAAGGCATAATGAAGAGAGCGAGTCCGAACTGAAGCAAGCATGAAAAAGATGCATACCCATACAACATTGCATCATCATAAAGAGCTTCCCTTATAACAGGTAAGGGAGGGCGGACCTCATCCTCAAATTGTCCAAATGTTCCAGCTCCCACATGCTTTCCAGGTTCACTTAGCCAATTGTAAAACCAACGTTAAAAATTAACAATTGAACTCCAATAACGTGCCAGAAACAAACACAAACAAATGGCTTGCAAACATACTCGGATGTCTGATCAGTTGAAGAATTGATTTGTTCATTTGTAGTTGGAGGAGAAGGTACAGGTGGGGGTACAGCCACTCCTCCTTCATTACCGACATAAAACAGCTGAATAGCATCCTCAAGCTTCCAACTTGTTGCCTGTCCATACAACATTCAAAATTGAGAGTCCTAAAAAGAAAACACTATTTCTTTCAAAATAGTCCCGGATCATCCACAAGCTTCCAACATCTTGTTGCCAATCCATGAATCGTTTAACATATAGCCTCATGTTAATCTGCTAACTAGCAATAATCAGCTTCGAACTATTTTCGTTTCATAGCAAATAGAAATGTAGGATATGAATACATAAAAATATCGTTCTAGAACCAAAATCTAGATTGGAGGACTTGATAGATAGCGCCCGAAGTAGACACAGACGCATCATGCAGTACACCAAAAGAAACAAATAACATCAAAAGATAGCACATGAGCAAAACTATCTTCCCCTCCTACCCAACAGCCGTAAACCCAACACCGACTTAACAAAGGGTCTAGATTACGAAACCCCATCACGCCAAATCGAATAGACAAGAATCAAGCATCAGAAAACAACCCATTTGCACAAGACATAACATAGTGCCACAAAATGAGAGAGAAGAAAAGGAACGGGGGGGGGGGGGGGGGGGGAGCAAAAGGGGTTGTGGGGAAGGGAAAAGAACCTGCAAAAATTGCGTAGCAGTCTCGGCAGTTTGGCCGACAGCAATCTCAAGGAAGGAGGAGACCATACTCTGCTTATCGGAAGCTGAAAGCACCCCTTCCATTTGACCCCGCTTGAATCCCGACGATCGGCAGAAGAGCAAAAAAAATAAAAAAACAAGTGGTGGGTGAAGAGAGTGTAGATTGGTTTGGAAGGGTTGTAATTGTGAAGTTTGATTCGACAGTGTCGCTGACAAATTTGTTGGGAGTGTGTCAGATTGCCGGTGAGATCTAATCGGCAATGAAATAGATAAAGAGAAGGGTTTGTAGGTTCCCAAAACGGGAAGTGTAAGAGTAAAAAAACGAAGGAAATTGGAAGAAATTAAAGGGGAGAGATAGAGGATTGGCGTATGGAAAAAGAAAGCATCTCGCTCTCTCTGGTTCTACAATTACGAGTCTCAAACTCACCTTTTTTTTTTTTACTCACAACTACCAACTCTTCGAACACTCTGGCTAACACTCCACCATCCGTGCTAGCGTTATTAAATAATAAACTCAATCCAACCCTAAATTTATTTCTTTTGATCGAGTAGATTCAAATTTATTTAAATTTTTATTTTTAATAAAAATAAAATATCTATTTATAATTTATATTTTAAAATTATATGAGTTAGGTTGAGTTGATCAGATTTTTTTAGTCATCTTGACTTCGAGAAGTTATAGATAAGATAATGAGATAAAATTCTATCTTCGAAATTAAATAAGATTTTAGAAATCACAGAGAAAAATACATTTCCTCAAATTACTTAAATAGTAAGTTTTCTTAATAAATTTAGTGTAACTTTTGCGAGTTTGAATTAGTTCAGATATTCGTTATTAACTGATATTCATACTGAGTTAATATAATATTTGGAGAATATATTAATGGTAGAATATATTTGAGATTCCGTTAATATTTTTCTATTTATGGTTTGATTTGTAGTATATTTTATTTTATTTTCAAGATTTTGGTAGAATATATTTGAGATTCCGTTAATATTTTTCTATTTATGATTTGATTTGTAGTATATTTTATTTTATTTTTAAGATTTAGTTAGTATATAGACTTAACAATTTTTCATAGTCAATTTAGAATTCATTCTCAAAAGATTCTTCTCGTTAAGATTAAGGTGCCACAAAAAGAATTACAAAACTAAAGGATTGTTCAAGAGGCCCAAGGAAAATAATTTTGATGCTCTAACAATATTTCATAAGGACCCGAGGGCTTTGGGAAAGGTTTGGAAAAAACGAGCAAACAAAATGATCATTTTTCTATTTTTTTTTAAGAAAATTATTGGATTTTTAATTCCGTGTAGAAAAGGAATTTCAAGATGTTCGACTACGGAAAATAACCAAAGAGGGGTAAATAAGACTTGAGTTCAGCACAATTCTAAAACAAACAAGGTCGACAAGCTTTATCTATAAATAAGAAGTTACTAATAATGTTTTGGGACAAGAACCGAATTTTGGCAATTCCTACATTCGAGATAGAACTTTCCATCGAGACACACAAGAAACGTCTATCCAATCACACGAGGGTCAAGACACACAAGTGTCATGATGCGACTGAGGAAGGTGGTTCATCATCAAACACACCATATAATGTGTGCATTAAAGAGAAGACAATACATGAGCAAGATAGAGGCAACAAATAGACAAGAGTATCAAAGATAAAATAGTTGAAGGGTTTGGTACGGCTCTGGGCCTTAACCTTAACCTCAAAAGTCAGAGTTTCGAAGAGAAATTGGATATGTAGTTCGGGAGTCAAGTCCATCCATATGAAATATAAAAGTTAGCCAAATTTGGTGTCAAACAAATATCGGATGGACGCTCCACGACAATGTATGCCTGTAACCAAGATCATGTCTACACCCACCAGATTGAAAATGACTCAAACTGTACTATAGGGGGAGACATGGTGTTAGCTACTTTATGGCCTAAGCAAGCTACTTTGTGGCACATACGTGTGTCACAGTGAGGGCGAGTGTTACGAGGCAAGTGTCTCGGGTGACTTTCTTTGAAATGGATTTTTCAAGAACAATGTCAAACGACACGAGTGTGCCAACATTGCGCCCCAACTTAGGTTTTCAGGTTGCATGACTTGAAACATAAGAAGCCTTAAATGTTGATTTCAGAGTATGTCAATTAAAATGTATGAAGCTTTGGGCGTAGGTATTTAAACTATACCACTTAGAACATATGAAACTTTGGCATACGTTTTCAAATTGCATTACTTGGAACGTATGAAGCATTGAATGCAGGTTTCAAACTACATCGTTGAGAATGTATAAAGCCTTGAGTGTAGATTTCAAATTGTATTGCTTGGAACCCATGAAGTCTTAGACATAGGATGTCAGATTCATGTATTGTACGGTAAATCCTCAAGGGAGTGTTTTAGGGAACAAAACAAGAACAAGAACTAAGACAAGGATGAGAATCAAGAACAAGAACTAGAACAAGGATCAAGATCCAAGTTCTTATAACTAAGGTCAGAACTAAGAAACAAGAACTCAAAACCTCGAACCTCAAAGCTAAGGTCCATAGATTAGAATCGAGGTTAAGAACTCAGAACTCAGGACCAAAGTCATTCGGATAGACCATGACAAGAACTCAAGAATAGAACCTAAAGGCTTAAGTTCTTAGGATAAAAACATAACAAGGAAGAGTGGTACCTTAGCAACCCTCACGAATATAATTAAGAGCTTACAAGTAAGCTACTTATTGAGTCTTTATATTGTTCCTATTCTCTCATGTTTTTTAAGTGACAAGAAGGAGCTAGTCGAGGATGGCGGTTGGATTTCTCCAAATTCATAGGCGGCAATCCACCATTTTCCTTCAAACTTGTCCTAACACATTCTAAAAAAAGTTGTTGTTCTCTTAAGAATTGATTACGGAAAGTGGTTGTAACGCCCCTAATTTTCTAAACCTAATTAATGACGTCACCCATGCATGCATAATTCATTACGCGGAAGCTCATCATAAATAACGTTGGAAAAACGCAATAGCCTCTTTCATAAAGATTCATAAATTCAAAACAAAACCTATCTCCTAAAATAAACCTTCGATAACTTAATTCAAAATAAATCTAATAAAACAATATTCAATAGTATAATTTAAAATAGTAAAATAAAGTGTCTAGTCTTTACCTGAAAAATGTAGGTAGTACGACGTGGCTTGAGTATTTTATAAAATACTCAGTAGTAAGTTACCCACTTTTCGGGTTAGGAATACAAACACATACAACATATGAGCGGGACCTAACTTTTCATAGCCTTGGGCGCTTTCCTATTCTGGGTAGGGTTGGGTGTGTGGTACTCTTTCACACACGGCCCATGTACGTGTACATGGACCCACCAGGCGGGCTCGTATACATACCCCATGGGCCTGACTTGGTCGGGCACAACGTGTTACACATCGCCGGACACCATAGAACAGAAAAGGGCCTGCATGATATCATGACGAACATAAATATCGTAACTCATTCTTTTGTATCATAAAGAGAAAGAATCTCAATGCACGTGACATACATAAATGCATGAGGTCCCTTAACATACCTAACATGACATTACATAAGTAGTGTTAACCTCGCATATACGTATCTTACATTACATGGCATCTCACATGACTTACATTACATAGCATATTACATAACATGAAAGTACATTCCATTTTCATAAGCATCTCATGACATGACTCGAATCCATGGCATCGATCAACATTTTCATGACATAGATTACTAACATATCATTCATAACTTCCCATAACATAAACAGTCAACAGTCAACCTAACTTATTACGTTTCATAGCATAAACAATCATATAATTCATATATCATAGGGTCATATCACATAATAAAACATGGGGCATGCAGGGGACACAGGGCACACACCATCATCCAACACGTAGTAAACTAACTCCAACAGTAAGGTCACTTACCTCGATGGTCTTGGCCGAAGTCACTCACAACAAGCTAATCCCAACGGTTAAATACGTCATATAATAACTACATAAAAATTTAGGAACCTTTCATAACATACGCTAGCTAAATCTCGTGCTATTTATCAAAATAAACTCCAACCCAATCTGTCTTTAACGGTTAGGAACCATACTGACCTCAGATAGTAAAATTAAGGGAAGAAACAGCTTCGGAAGGGCAAAAAACATTGGAATCGATATATTATAGTGATACCTTGCCGCTAAGCCTAGCTGCCGAGCCAGCCAACTAAGCCGCCAAGTCGAGCTGCGGGAATTGACGGAACCGAGCCCATTTCGTACAAGTGCGAGCCGACCCGCACTGTGTACGCGTGTGAAGCTGCCGGAGCTGCTGGGTGTGCGTATGCGGCTGGACCCTATTCCAAAAACCTTGCCTTCCTTACCCGACAAGCGACGAAACTCTAGTTTCCGCCACCCCGATTCCGGCGACGATCCGACAATCCCACAACGTCCTCAACACCAATTTCCAACGGTCAACCTTCTTTGACACAATGATCCCAACATCAATGCCTTACTTCTACTCGATTCTTCCTCCGAATAGCAACCCCAACGTTCCTGAGGAAAATTAAACGGGGGAGATTACATTTAATTATTTGTTTTATTTTTATTTGATTTGATTTTATTCTAGAAACTTGAATCGTTACTGTGGTAGTAGCCATTTTCTCCAATTCAATCTACCATTAACAAGCCTAAGGAAAAACTTGAATTTTCAACCCGAGCCTACACGCAAATCCGTCCTCTCAAACTAGTTCCAATTACCTCTTAAGATTTCAAGGAGTATTTCTGGTGAAGATTTCAAATTCCACTGAGCTTTGAGAACGGAGAAATTTGAGATTTTCAATTTCTAGGGTAAGTTCCAATTTTCTCTCTATGGTCTCTTTCCTTCCAAATTGATGAACATGTTTCATGGAGGAGTCGGGTTCTGAGGGGTTTGGATCGAGCTACAAAAGACAGTGTAAATCTGTATTTTGAGTTGACTTGCTGAAGATTTGAGTAATTAATAGTTGTAGAATTTTATATATCTAAAGGGTAACAGATTTGGGAGAGTACTTTTTTACTGAAATATGAATTCCGCCTGGGGAAGGCTTGCACGGGTGTCAATGTTCACGGAAACTAAAGTCACTAAGGAAACTATTTAGGAAAATTTGGAGTAATTGAGTATCGAAAGCTCGAGAATCAAGGCTTCAAACATCGACAAGAGGTAAGTAGCCAATTCGATTGTTTCTTTCAAAATACTGGTAAGAATTGTTTGGACCTTGAAATTCACCTTAAATTAAGTAAGAACTAAAAGTAATATGGAAGGAATAGATTAAGAACCGTGAATTAAGGACCCAAATCGAATGTTTTACTCGAGATTCAAATAACATTAAAATAACCTTTAAAATGAACTTTGTTGCTCATGGAGTTTTAATGTCAAG